GGAACTACTACACCAACTAAGTGAAAACCCATCAGTGACCAAAACCTCTTGGCTGTTGTGAGACCTGATGCATCTTGTCAGGTACTTTTGTTCAAGACAAAGCCAGGCAATTCAGAAAAACAAAGTTCAGCGTCTGAGCACGGTGTGTGAAAACCTCCCCAAATCACACTTGCTGTGCACATTTCCCGAGGACTCCCCAGCAGGCAGCATGAAGCGGAAGGGCTCTGACCTCCCTTCATTTCTCGAAATCAAGTGCTGGACACAAAGCTGCAAACACTAAGTGTCTCCGTGAAGGCAGTCTCCAAAAGGCTAGTTCTCAACAAGTCACCTGCGGCCTGGTTTCCAAAGCTACATGGCACCTATAATTCCTCTTCATTCATTCCCTACCATGAGAAAGTTGAGCTCTTCCCCTCCCTGTGTTTCATCTTACTTATTTGTGATTCATGCTTATCTGCCTCCTGTGGATGCTGTGAGGTTTAATTAGTTTTGGTCTGTAAAACACACTGAGATCCCCCGGAAAGGCTCTGTGTGCATTCACAGTACGATTACAACGAGACAATTTTCTTGGTGCCCCTGGAGTAACTAGCACAAGTTGCCTCAGGAGACTCCAAAGAGGAGGCAGTGTCAGCACTCACCAGCCACGATCCTTCCCTATATCCCAAAGATGGAAAGATTCAAGGGACAGCATTTTGGTACAGCACATGTTGAATTTGATGTGGGAGTTAACAGCGGTTTTCTGTCTAGCACAGCACTGGGAAAACATTCTCATCAGCATCTTTCAGCAAAAAGAAGGAAGCTCAAGAAAAAAAGAAAACCTCTTAAAATGGAAATAAAAAAAAAAGGAAACCAACAGCACTAACAAAAGCACCATATGGATTTTTAAAATAACCCAAACAGCTTAGAGTTGCCCAGACTTCTGTATTCATTAATTGCTCAGGACACAGATTTATTTATTTATGGCTCAGAAAAGAATTCCCAGCTCTGAGGCTTTCCAAAGAACAAGCACCCCCCAGTTCTGCATGGTCACCTTGGCCAACTCACCATGCAGTTTCTCATTCTCATGCTAATGCAGTTCAAACAACCCAACTCCACATTTTTTATGCATGCAATAAGCCTATCTTTAGGTCACTTAGTTGTGTCAGTTTAAATCACAACATTCCCTTAGAGAAAAATCTGATCATTTTATTTACTTTTGGTCACAGAGAAGGAAGCAGAAAAACAGTTCATTACAAAAACCACTTTCTTGTTTATGGTGCCTAATTCAAGTCTCGCTGAAATCTACTTGAATTTAAACAGCAGTTGAAACCACGATAAATAATGCATTTTAATTAAGATTTGCACGACTACACTCAAGACATAATACTCTGAAAATATCTGACTGTGCATAAGCATATCATATTATATAGTTTTATATATTATTAAATCTTATCCAAAGTCTGCTGGAATAAAGGCCAAAATCTCATTGATCTCTGTGGACTTTAGATCTGCCTCTCTGCCTCTTTCAGAAAATAAGCCTGGATTCTGCAACTCTGGTTTTCCCAAGCATCCACACAGATATTCACAAGACTTCTCAAAAGAAGAAAAAAAACATGAAGCTGAAGCCATCCATGAAAGGTATTGGATTTATTCCAGATGTGGAACTGTTTTTAATTAATTTGGAAACATTTGAAATATTTGTTCATTAAATATGCTTTGCATTTCACACATGCGTGTATGAAGTAGTAAGAAAATCCAAAGTGATAATGCTTTATTAAATAGACTGTGAAGCCATTTCTAGAAAAATTAAACTCACGTAAATGCAATGACAGCAACGGTGCTGTACCCCACCGATATTCGAAGTGAACAGTGCCTGCAGCGCCCATCCCCAGGACACCTCCACTCGACCTGGAGAAATGACTGGTTGGGGCTTCTTCACTTGCTGGTCAGACCTGCAGGATGCTGCCACGCGTGGCCAATAGCCTCTGTCAGTAACAACACTTTTACAGAAGAATATCTGCCTACTAGGAGACAGCAGAATAACTTAGGTGAGGTAAATCAGAGCGCAATTTCTTCATGACCTGGTAACAATTTTGGCATGCGAGCGCTCAGAAGATCCAAGCAGACAACAAGGGCCCAAAGGGCACTTTCTTCAACACTTGGCTTGTCCCCTGAGGTCGCTAGCCAAGGCCCACAAGTCATCCAACTCAACCCAACCACTGGTTAAAGCAATCTACAGGCATAACGCCGTCATTTACAGACAACAATACACACAAAAACTTTGATGGCCCCTCAGTTTTCTCAAATTCACAGCAAAAAGCTCCACTATAAAGATATGAGTGTGAACATGGATGCTGGCACTGAGGCGGCAGAACGGGAAGGACGAGGGCTCCGTGTCTCCCAGCTCTCCAAGCCCAAGGCTGGACCCCTCCTCACCCAAGCCGGGCACAAGGGAGGCGGCACGGAGCCCCGCACAGGGAGCTCTCCGCACACACCGCCATGGTGTCTCACACGGACAGAGGGCAGGGATGTGACATGATGTTGAAATCCCTGCCTTGAGCACGGGGCCTGGCTCAGCCGTGAGGCAGGGAGCTCCTGGGGGCAGCAGAGCTGCCACAGCTTGGTGGCTTCCAGGGCGCCAGCCTGGGCCTGGCCTGGCCACCCCACAGGGCGATGAGGACGGACACTGTCCAACTTGATGCTCGGCGGTATCCACATCACCATAACGCAGCTCTCGCCTCCCCTCTAGCGGCTGAGCCACCAAACCTGCTCTATCCGCCGCTGCTGCCAGCGGCGTGAAGGCCCCGGCTCTGTCCCCGGGAGCGGCAGCTCGAGCCGCGCTCCCACGTTTGCAGAGGATCAGGCCAGGACTTCGTTGCACTGAGCAAAGGGACAAGGACCAAACACGCACACCTGGGCAGGGGCAGAGCCCCTCAGCACCGCTGCCCGCTACGTGGCTTCCATTTCTGACAGCAGGTGACAAAGCTGCCAGTGAGGGCGATGAGCCACAGCGAAGTTCTGAACAAAACTGCTTTTCCATTTCTCTGAGATGGGCAAAAGAATTAGCTACTCAGTGACTAAGAAACACTCAAACACTTGCTGTCCAAGGACCAAGTTTTATATCTCACAATCACTACAGCTTTGTCACTAGGGGTCAAAATTAATTCTAGTGACCAATAACATAAGGCAGTGTCACTACCATCCTTAACGGATTTAGCCAAGCACACTCAGACAGCACGTGATGCCCTCCCACTCTGAAAGCAGAACACAAACACAGGAAAACTTCACATTTCTTCGCAAGTCATCTTTAAAACAACAAAAAAAATGCAGGAGAATTCAAGTTTCCTTCCTTTGGTTGCCAGTGCTAAAATATGCTAACAACATTAAGGCAAGGGACGACTTGCAGAGCTCGCAATCTGTATTCAGCATAATTAGCAGATGCCAATTTAACTTATTACCGCTTCTTCCCTTCTATATTACAAAAAGGATGTCAATGAAAACCTGTTATCTAAATGACTGTTTTCTCAGTGCTGATATAAAGCAACAATCATGGGAAAATAGAGTCACAGAGCATGTGTTAGGAAATATCTGATTTTGAAATGACATTATAAACAGCTACAGTAAGGGAAGAAATTAATGCCTTCACATAGGACTTTCCTCTCTTCCTTCACACTTGGGTTCTTAGACTGTTTCTAAATCTAACTCATGTGTTATTTGGTAGCATTTCTAGTTACTTAAATAAGCATAACTATCTTTGGAGTAAAACAAGATTAGTAAAGGAGGCTGCTCAGCTGTCTCAGCCGCAGATCATTTTAAAGCTTCACAAATTAACATACTTAAAAAGATGCAGTTTCAGTGCAGAGAACTAACAGATAGTAAGTACGGCAACATGCACACTGCTAAGAAGCCAACCAACCAACACAAGCCTTAACCTGTCCTCTTCTGAGATGTCAAAATAAGGGACTGTGTCACAGTTGAAGGGACAGTTTACAGAGTGCACTTCTGCAGGCTGCAGAGCTAAAACACATTTCATAAAACAAAGCCCTTTTGAACTAAGAGCTTGTAGCAAGATGCATGCAGCAAGGAAAAAAAAAAGCAGTGCGCACCAAGGTTATGGATTTAAACAGGTTTCTAACACATAAACATATAATGATCGAGTCCAGGCAGCATTTGCTGCTACTTCTGGTCAGAGAAGATCCCCTCCCACTAGCACTGCTGCATATTACAATGCAGCACACACAAAAAATATTTTAATAAACTGCCTTGTGGCCATAAGGGCGAAGTTTAAGAGCCTTGTAAGGCTATGCTTCTCCACAGCTTTAATCAATCTGAGCTCTAACTTCATTTGTTATGCCTAGCGCAAAGTGTAAACTTTGCCCGTTGCAAGAATTAAGGGGAAAAAAAATAACATTTCATCCTCCGCGCCGAGCAGTGCATGTAACGCGCAGAACAGAACCGCTGCACTCACAGCCCCCAGTTAAACTGGTCTCTGTGGAAACTAATAACTTTCCACAGTACACCCTGTAATCCAAGGAATAATTCTAAACAGGCATAAGCTGCAGCGTGCTGAACTAAGACATTCTTACCTTGCAGAGAGCGCTCGCAGACGCCTGCTTGCAGCGGGAGAGCAGAGCGTGCATGCTGCCAAGTATTTCCTAGGGAAGAGGGTGTCTGCCTTGCCCCACACATGCGCGCGCACAAGCCGTGCGCGCGTCTCGGGCAGACAGCGGGGACGGGAAAAGATAAGCAGCGCCGATAGCGCCCCGGCTTTATACCTCAATCAGCGCCGAGGCAAGGAGGAGGAACCATTTGAGATGAAAAGGAAAAAAAAAAAAAATCCAAGGAACAAGATTTTTTTTTCCCCGCCACTGGATGCAGAGAGCTTTGCCTGGATAACTCTAATACTTTAAGACAAAAATCTTTGTAACCCACCTCCCTCCCGAGCCAATTAGTTGCACATGTCAAACGACGCAGCACAAACAACACAGAAAGACTCTGAAAGGGAAAATTACATAAGCTCTTACCTTTTAGTCAGAATAAGTGACAGATAACAAGCATAGGAAACTCAGTTGGCACAGTTGCTGTACATATTTCTCTGTGGACTCCTCTTTAGTGGTCCCAAAAGCACTGAACATAAAAAAACTCCAGCCTGCCTGCTTCATTCTTCAGCAACAGAGATACATGCTGTCACGGTAACGAGAAAAAGCAAAAAGAGCTCCAGATCTGAGGGTTTTAAAGCCTTTGTGTTTATAGGGAAGAAAAAGAGAAAGAGCAAGAAAAAGAAGGAAAGGAGCAAACACTTTTACTAAGAGAAATCTGGTCCTGGCTATATAAGTAAGCACAGGATCACTGAGTTTGAATTTCCCTGTTTGCGAGCTCCTTGGGAAAAAAAATATATGTAATGAGCCTTTAGGAAGAAAAAAAAAAAAAAAGGCAAATGCATGGATTGGGGGAAGGGGAGAGGAGGAGGAGGGTACTGCTCCTATGTGACATACATATGGAATGAGCATTAGAACAATGCTGACAGGACAGCTAAGCAACTGCACTCTGGGGCAGCAGTTTTCAAAGCAGAGCTTTTGCAGCTTTGCAGAAAGGAGAACAAAACAATAAAATTAAAAAAAAAAAAGAAAAAAAAACACTCCACAAAGGAGAAAGGAAGAAAAGAGAGGAGATCTTGTTCTTCCATTTTGAAAGCTGTGTGGATAGAATACAAGAAGAGCAACTGGGCTAAAAGAAAGAATGGAAAAAAAAAAAAAAAAAAAAGTGTTGCCCAATTCCTGAAGGGGGGTCTCGCCGCGGCTGCTTTGTGGCGGTGCAGGCAGCCTTGGTGTCTAGTGCACTTACATTTTATGCGACTCTCAGTGGGTTCCCTCCCCGCCTCCCGACGCCTCCCCTTCCTGGGAAGCTTGCGGTCCCAGGGGCAGGAATTCCAGTGGACCCAATTAACGCTGCACTTTGCTGGCTCCTTGCTATGATCGATATTAAATAAGCGGAGTTTTAGCAGCACTGAAAAATAAAGCAGCCATGTAATCTGTGGCTCATGGAGGCTGCATTTTCTCCTTTTTTCTTTCCCTCTGCTTCTCTACTCCCCCGATTTCAAAACGATCCAGCACAGAAAAAAGAAAGCCATGTGCCAGCGCCAGTGACACAAGCTGCATCCGATATTGGTTAGAAACTTGAGAGAAGCAGAACGCGAGTTGCTCTTTTCAGTAGCTTCCATGGCACTTTTTATTAAAGCACATTTCCAAATCCATGGGAGGAACCCAAAGGTTCACAAACGGGCTCTTTCATCAGGTCCATCTCGCTGCCTGACGGTACAGGAAGTTTGCTGAGGGGTCTGGGAGCCGTTTCACGAGCTCATTTGTTTTAAATAGACTCCCAACAACATGACTTCTGCGTTTCGGTCAAAGAAATGTAGTAAGAGGGTCACTGCTTTAAGGGAATGCACCCTCGTACTGCCTCATTTCAGCAGCACGTGCTACCACGTACCCTACAAATTGCACATTATTTTAATTTGAAGGGGGAAGTGGTTGGGAGGCAGTAACCTTCTTTGGTCCTGTTTTCCCTGATCTATCAATCACAGATTGCCATGTAAAAACAATCTGCTACAGGCTCTCTCTATAGAGGAAAAGCAATTACTAGCATTAACTCTTGCCATTGCAAATTAATACAATACAGTTCACAGCTGATAGTCTGCCTGCAAGCCATTAATCTAAGAATAAATGAGTAGTTTGCTTAAACCCAACTTGTTTGACATTCTCAAGTTAAAAAAAAATCTCACATTTTTACTCATGTTTGTGAAACCTGCAGGAAAGAAAAAGCAAAGCAAAGAAAAAAATATATATTTCTTAGGGTCAGTACCTGCTTATGAAAATGGGATTTCACCTTCTTAACTGCTTTTCCGTTTTGTTTCTGGCATGGCTATAGTCTACATACCAAACCCAATAAATAACACTGAGCAAGATCCTTGACTGAACAGCTGGGTTGGCCAATGACTTGTATCCATCTTGTTAAATTAATGTGCGATTACATTTCCATAAGAGTAAGATCAATTAAAAATACTCATAAAACCATGCTGCTAAAGGCACTGAAAAATTAAATTAATTAACACAAAAAGCTACAATTAAATAATATTAAGGTTATGATCCTAGCCGAAGGAGGGAAAAAAAACCCATAGCAGGACAAAATACGGCTAGCTGGTGCCTACTGGCAGCAGCTCCACGCACCCCACGGTTCATCTCCCGTTCTGTGCGATGTTTAGTGAGTGCCTTCACAGCTAGATAAATGTGGAACAGGCAGATTTGCTGAAGAGCTGTTAGTTATCCCATCAGAGATCAAAAACAAAGGTTTATTTACATGGGAAGAGCCCTAAAAGGGCTAGTGCTTGCGCACATGAAGTTGGTTGAGCTACAATGATTCTAGGCTCCTGCACACTCGATAAAAATATAATACTTTGCATATATTAACCTGACAACCTTAATCTAGGCAACACTTTATTTTCCTCTTGGTGCAAAAAGGGCCAGGGAAGAAGTTTCCCCAAGTAAGCAGGGTAACAGAGGGTCAGAATTCGAATCAGGGAAACAGAAAATGATGCAGATCTTTATGCTTCTTGTTCAGTAATGACCATTATTGACCTGGTACTGAGACACAGCAGACATAGTCTGGATTTTAAATAAGATTCAAAGATATTGCGAATGCCAACCAGACCATTCAGAGTCTGCAAAATCACAACACTGCCTCAGACTCCTATTCTAAGCTAGTGGCCGAGTTAATGTCTTAAAGCACTACTACTCCATACCCCGCAGTGTGGCCTCCCCTTGCACAGGGATCAAGTGCTTGGGGACCCCATCTGAACGAACACACATATAAACCAGCTGCCACAGAAAACGGACTCTCCTTCCCCAAAAACATGAGCTACATGAAGCCGATCTCTAGCCAGGATATCAGGAGCTCCAGGGAAGTCTTGCAAATAAGAAAAACACTCTCCAGTGGCACTCAGCAACAGTTCTCCTTTCCCTCCACCTATGTTCATGAACTGTTAATTACTTCAAGCCCCAGCTGACAAAAGGCAGAGGAAACTGACCCCAGCAATCAAATTATTTTCACAGAAAAACACTGTAATATGGACATAATTCACAGAACATGTTTCAGCTGAAAAGGTCCAGGAGGTAGCTCTATATTGGGAAACATGGATATTTACAATTGCAGTGGGGATCGTAAGTGTGCTTGGAAGCTATAAATGATCCATCAGTCGATCTGTCATCTTAACACTCCTATGCACTAGTAAAGTCTTTATTATCCCCATTCTAGAGATGACAATTTGAACACTGAAAGTCTAAACCACCTCCCCAAGGAGATGCAAGAAGTGCTGGAGAATAGCAAGGAACTGATTCCAGGCCTTTCGAAGTGTCTTCATTGCAAAGCCTATACTTGTTTCAAATGCGTCAACTAAATTTGACACATCTTGAAAGTCGAACTGTTTATCCCTTAAAAAAATGTCACTAACATTCCAGTCTACTCTTAGGTATGACTCAAAGCACAGTCTATTTTATTTAAGAACGTCCTCTGCTATTTAAGAAACATGCGTGCTTAAACACTCACAGCTTTTCTTCCAAATAAAAATTTGAAATGCAATTTAAGAGAAAAAGCCATCCAACATAATTCCATGATTGGAATTACAATGCAGGACATCTCAAGCCAGCATGGACTCGTGCAGAACGACACCTCAAACTTGCAAAGATAAAACAACAGAAAACATATTTCAAAATAACAAAGTGCTCTTGTTTTAGGTCTAGTTGACCACCAGGTTAAAGAAAAAATCTGGAAAGCTTTATGACAGCCATGGTCCCTAACTCCTGGCAGAGCAAATTCTGTTCCTCTTGTTCCTGGTGCTGGGACAAGGAAGAGGGAACATACATAGGTCAGAATTTGCTTTATCCACAAGAAATCCAACTCTACAAAAGCTGTTAGCATTTAGTAGAGGACGAACCTAATGCCTGCTAATGGGAATGTACCTAAAACACAGAGGAAAAGCTGCTTTTTCTTCTTTCCTCCTTGAAAAGTTATATGAAGAATTGCCAGCATTTCCCACAGTCTTCGGAGATCTATCATCTCAGCAAGATTCTCAAGAACCTATGACCCCAAGTGCAAACATGGGAGATTAGCTATGCAAAGATACATGGTGTAAAACAATTTCGTAACAACTAATCCACTTTATTACAGGCACCGTCAACTCTGCTCATTATCCAGCCCTTTCAATTCAGCTGTTCCTGTTCTCAAAGACTAGGGTCTTTTGCACTATTTGGAAGAAAATTTAAGCAACTCTAAATATATTCATTTTGACTATTAAAAGACAAGCAAATCAGTAGGCTTTTTTTTTTCTTTTTAAATTCTGTTTTCCACAATACAATAAGTAGCAGAAATTACAAAACAAAATGAAAACATTTAATAAATAAATAAATAAACTCTGACTCCAAAACACTGATAGTACAAAATGGAAACAACAGCAAATACAGCAATGTGGTCTCTGTGCAAGAATGTGAAAAATGCTTGTGGATATTTCAAATATCTTTCCAAATGAAGGGGCTTATATCAGGTTGCACGATTTTGGATTGAACACACTTTCAAAAGATGATGATTCACGTTACTCAACCTCAGGAGGCCTGACACTTGGCTTTGTTCTTTTTAATTTCTAATTACATTTTAGTACTGGAATAAAAAGAATGAACATATAAAGCCAGAAATAAACAAACAAAAAGTAAAATAAAAGGAAAACAATCTCTAAGGCACTTAACTTCAGAGAAGGTTACTCAGATAATTACAATTTACAACTGCACAATAAACAGTGGTAAGGTTCAGCTGACATGCTCTGGGCTCTTATATGAGCAAGCATCAAAGATAAAAAGCCAATTTCCTATTTGAAAAATGGGTATCGGTAACTTGAGGCTGGCAGGATTGGGTTATTACGCTCATTAATTAGGCTGTCATTAATTAGAGGCCCAACACTTGGGAAGCAAGGTGGCCCGGCCCGCGTGAGGCCCAGGGTGGGAGCTCGCCATTAGGTGTCCTTCTCCTCTCGCTGAACACTGAGCAGCAGCTTCAGCCTCTGCCAAAATGGTCACATTCACAGGCAAGTCCTGAGGAAAATGAACGGGGATTTGGGAAATGTCGGTTCAAACCCTCATTCTGCCAACCAGCCGGGCAGCTGCCCAAAGGCGGGATCTGCGGGAGGACTTGCACAGCACAAGGCCAGCCAGGAGGCACACACGTGGTGCCCAGGAGCTCCTCTGTTCACCAGCACCAGGATTTGGTTACTCTGAGCTCTTCCTGGAGCAGCTGGAGCACCTGCTGAGGAGGCAAGTGAGCGCTTCGACATCCCCCTCAGCCTGGAGGA